ATGAGCAAGTCAAGTAATGCTGAATTTCTCCAAATCAATCCTGATGAAGAAACAAACTCATGTACATTTTTAGCCAATTTTCATTTTTGGGTGAACTCTTCCTTTAAGATTGACGCTGCAATGTCATGCTGTATAATGTACAGATCACATTTAAGCTATTTCATGAAGCTATAGGGATGTTATTGTTTATCATGTGATGGTAATGTATAGTGCATTCAGAGAAATACATTTGTGTATATATTTTTTAAACATCCACTGTCCTGTGTTAAACTGTTTTTGGACCAATGTATGTTTGCCGTCACATTCATAAGTTTTGATATAAATATTGTAAGAACTAATTACTAAATAACGCAAGCAGTATTTTATGAAAGAGTGCCATTTGAACAGCTCTGAGGCAAAAACATGTTTTGAAAAATGGAAAGCATGGTAAATAATCCAGTCAGTGGCCACATGTGAATACATTTTATATTATAAGAAGAGCAAACTTGCTCATCTTTGAAAGAATAATAAGCATCAAGTAAACAAGTATTTAACCTCTCTGAACTAATGAAAATCTGTGGTGTGTAATTTCTGCACCACTAGCATCACCCCTAGTGACCACTAGCATTTTATTAATATTATTTTAATTAATTAAATTTTTCGTTGTAGCATATGTATCTATGTATTTAACATGATCATAAAGACTTTAACTTTGTTGTTGTTGTTTTTACTGTATCTTGTAAGATTTAATAATGCAGTAGCAGCCTGTGGAAACATGTACAGTACATCTAAAAGGCCTCAGGCTGTATCTGTGTATGATTTGCACGTATTTCCGCATGTTGATTTAACTCAGCAAGGAAAAGATGAAACTAAAATATTCAAGGAAACAAGAAAATCATTATTTTCTACAATAGCCTTGCAGCTGCTCACTGACAGGAGTGTGGTCACCATAGTAAGCTCATAACTCACTGCAGAGGAGCTTTGTTCAGATTCTGGAGTGCTCATAAATGTTCCGTCAAAGAGTTTTCAAGAACACATTCACACTTTGAATGAACTGAAAACTAAGGAAATTCGCTGATTGACACACAAAAGGCGACGTCCAAAAGCGCACAAGTGTCTGACAGTTGTATTGTCGCCCGGCCTGCGGTTGCTGAGGATGGCTGTAAGTTTGGGCTGAGAAGAGATGATTCAGTGTCGATGCTATTATTCTACTGTCAGACAGGAAACCCATTGGCTTTTATATGCTCTCAGCTTCAGGATGGAAAGCATAAAGGAATGAGAGTGAGAAAGATTTGGGTACCAGCAGGCAGAATCAGGACAAAAACTCCCCTGTGGACTTCAAATGGAAATGACTGGGCTTTAGACTCGCACAGACGGTGGACTCGAAGGGTTTGCTGACTGGCGCTCAAGTTCTGCTAACTGCTTATGCCAAGCGATTACACGACAACGTTTATTCTTGTGTTCCGGAATAGCTAGAGCTCATAATGCTCTGTTTATCCTTCCGATTATGATGCCAAAGCTAATGCAATCGCTCACATTGTTCATAGCCTCTGATCTTGCTGTGCGTTTTCATGAGTCAGACACATCCTATTTTCAGGGCTTTGGACGTTAATTATGAAGAAATGCTGGGTGTCATGCTGTGGAGGCATCGACGGTGAGCAGCAGAGCTAAACATTCCCTTTGACCATCCATCTGCACACTTCAGAGCTATTGAGAGATGCCAACAACCTGTGACAGGCAATCCACACAATCAATAATGCGGCTGTAACACTTTTTCAAGAGCATGTATAGTGCTGTTCTACTCATTCAAAATGTTTTTACACAGTCTAATTGAAAATTTAATTTAAAACTAATTCAGGTGAGTGTTTTTTCCCCAAGCAATGACTGATGCCAAGTTAAAATAATCACAAAGATGTTATATTGTACTCAGGGCCCCTGGGAATGTGTCTGAATGGCAATTTGGCCTCCCAAACATGCAATGACTAAGAATACTAGCATACTGTCACGAATTCTGTCCATGAACTTCCGTTCAATCACCACCAGAGGTCACCTTTCCATTACATTGACTCTCGCACTATACAAACTATTTCATGTCATCCCGGACTACATATCCCATCATCCATTGCACTGATTGCACACAGCACTGATTGCACACAGCTGTAACCAATCACACATTCACTATATAACACTCACTCAGATCCTTTTCAGGCTGCCGAGTATTGTATGCGCATATCGCTAGTTGTGATAGCTCTGCCTGGACGCCTGCTTTAAGTATTCTATTCTATTCTAGTCTAGCCGAGCCGAGCCGGTTTCCTCATCTTCTGATCATTGCCTGTGTACCTTGGATTACCTCTCTCGTCTTGCCCTGTTCGGATACTGTTTGCCCCTGCCTGGACCTTTGCTTTGTATCTGGATTATCTCTCTAGTCTCGCCCTGTTGGATTACGTTCGTCATTGACTGACCCTCGCTTGTTTACCGGACTACCCTTGCCTTGTCTTCTACATACCAGTTTGCCTATGTCTGACCTATGCCTGTTTATGACCACGTCTTAATAAAAGCTTTGCACATGGATC